TGGCGGCAAATAGCCCCTGCTATCGGAGACCTTCCGAGATAATTGCCGGTGTTGACAAATTGACGGCAGCAGACGTGGTGAAAATCTGATTATTACGTGAGATCCACAACCCCCAGAGAGTTGCGATAAAGAAGGTTGTCGTGTGACCATCATAACCATCCTGGCTTAGGAACAACCGGATATAGTACAGAATCCAATCGCCGAAGGATTGGTCTGCATTAGCTTGTGAGTGGATATATAAAATTCCACCCCTCCATGCATCCTGCGCATTCATGCAAAATCTGAATAAGTGCTATAAGTCTTCCTCCTGTGTCCTGCATAGGTCACAATATATACTTACAGCAAGCCCCCTTCTCCCGAAATTAGCCTTTGTAGCGATTCCATTCTGCATGAGTTTCCACATAAACAGTTTCCATTTGGGCATAATGTTAAGGGACCATAATATCTTATATATCCCTGACATGTCGTCTGCAACGGTCGAGAGATTAGATTGTTTGAGGAAATGCCTTGTCTTGACTGTATAAATACTGGACTTATGGGAGCACCAGTACATGTAGTCATCCGTGTCACTTCCCGGTAACTCCATCCTCGCAATTGATGAAGCATCTCTATGAACAAAAGCAGAGTTAAGTCGGTCGAGGTTCCTCTCACTTCCAGACGGACAGATGAAGTGACTCGCCTTCCAAGTCTTCGCCTGGCGCAAAGTAACCAAAGAATTATATTCAGGCATCCTGCTAACCATTCATTTATCTCTCCCTGCCACTATGGACTTCCCATTCCGTACCTTCTAACCACAACCCTTGATCAGGTTATTGCCCGCCTTTATTAGGCCTCTCATCCCCAAGAGTAATTTTTATTGCGAAATCGGACCTCCACACCCGTGGCAACCGAGCTCTGAAACTGGGCCGCACAAACCTTCACGAGTAAGAGCTGAGGGTTATGGAATAAAAGCCAACTTGTTTCATAAGCAATGCCGAGTTAAAAGCACCCAAACTTCTGATTCCTAGGCCTCCCATACCCTTAGGCAGACACACTTTTTCCTTAGCTACCCAGTGCATTCCTTTATTATCTCTATTCGACCAAAGGAAGGCCGTAAGAAGGGAGTCGACCTTATTTGAAATACTAGCTGGCATCTCAAAACAATTGATTACATGAGAGGCAATTGCAATGAGTACATAATTGATTAAAATCAATTTCTGTTGTTGAGAAAGAGTAACCGCATTCCAGCCTGTAATTCGTTTCCTAATATTATCGACTATGTACTGAAAGGAAGCACCCTTATTACCTAGAAAATCAACAGGAACACCGAGGTGAGTCCCTAACTGGTCAACTTTGGGCATGCCCAAGATACCTTCGAAGGATCTTTGTAAAGCTATCGGAGTATTGGAGCTGACTTTGAAGTACGACTTCCCCAAGTTCATTCGTTGTCCCGAAATATCGAAAAACCTGTGAATAACATCAGTAATGGCCTGGCTACTGCAAACACTAGCTTTGTAGAATAACAGGGCATCATCTGCAAAAAAGAGATGTGAAATAGAAGGGCCCCTGAGTCCTAGCTTTATACCGTTGAAAAGCCTCATGTCGCAACCTTCTTATAGCATCCTCGAAAGAACATCCATACAAAAGAGGAAAAGGTAAGGGGATAGCGGATCCCCCTGTCGTAACCCAAAATTAAGTTTAAACTGCTCGCTCGTCTCCCCATCCAGTAAGACTTAATACGAGACTGTCGAGATACACTGGCCTATCATTTACAACCAAGTGGGAGGAAAGCTGTAACATTGCAGTACTCGGTTCAAAAGCACCCAATTTAGCCTGTCATACGCCTTGCTCATGTCGATCTTCACTGCTGCCAAATAGTCTTCCCCTGTAGTCCTCTTATTAATCTTGTCCAAAACCTCATGGGTCAGAAGAATATTATCTGTCATCTGTCTACCTGTAATAAAAGTATGCTGAGACATAGAAATGAGTTCCGGCAATGCTTTTTTCATACGATTGACCATACATTTGGATATACACTTGTAAACCGTATTACAGAGACTAATAGGCTGAAGATGGGTTGTAGTCTCAGGAACATCAATCTTCGGGATCATCACTAGGATAGAATGGTTCCACTCCCTTAGAAGATAACTAGTGGCGAAGAAGCTCTGAATTGCTAAAACAACCTCACACCCCACCTTATCCCAGTGCTTAGTGAAGAAGGATGCTGTAAAACCATCAGGGCCAGGGCTTTTTTCACCATTGAGGCTAAACATAGTCCTAACCTCTTTCGCTGAAACCGATTTTGTTAATAAAGCCACTTGTCGACTATCCAAAGTGGGTATATTCAGTTCTCGTAACAGCATGTTTGTCGACTACCCAAAGTTTGATTTATTAAGTTCAAACAAAAACAACTTAAAGGGAATGGATTTAATTCATATTTAATTTACAAATATAATGTTTTAAAAAACCCTAGCTTCCTTTCTCTCTCCTAAACTTTAGCCTCCATTGTAGATTTTGAAGGGGCTTCCATCAGATTTCACCGGTGAAAGCCCCAATCGTTTGTTTCTTTTAAGTTTCTTTTAATTCTTAGTTTATAATAATGTCTCCCTCGAAAGAAAGGGTTTATCTCCTTCGAAAGATAAGGTTTTTTCGATCTCCTTCGAAAGAAAAGGTTTTTCGAATTCCTTCGAAAAACAAGGTGTTATTTGCGTTTGATAGGGTCTCTAGTTTTACGGGGCTACGATTGATTATTGCTCGAATTGGGGTTACAAAAACATCACAAGAATTTTTTTCCTCACAAAATATTGAAGCGTCGGCGGATCTACTCAAAAAGTTGTATGAGACAATGAATCGAGAATATGCCGAATTGTTATATCTATGTATTTGGATTCTTAGCACTTCTCCGATTAATCCTTGTTTGATTTTGTTAATTTTTTTTTTATTATCGTTATTTATCAATTATAGATGTCGGATGACTTTACTTAATGAAATTTAGTGTCCTTTTGGACTTCTTTCAAAAAAAAAAAAAATTACAAATATAATATAACTAGGTTAAAATTCCATGCAATGCACGGTTGTTAAATATTTTTGACAAAAATAATATTACAAAATATAAAGTATATACTTGTAAAAGATATTCAGAAATATTTCATTTGGATATATATGGAATATGATAGTCAAACTAGAAAAAAAATATCATAAGTTATAAATAGTTTACTTAAAGATTTTGAAAAAAAAAAATAATAAAAAAAAAAGAGAAGCGAAAAAGGCGGGAAAATTCTTTACAAGTTAATGACAAGAGTCATGAAAGGATTTGCTTTTAGTATAAGTTAATAGATTGATTCTAGTAAATAAAATTCAGGTGAATAGAATGCATCCTTAATAATAAATGAAAGAACGAATTATACATCATCTACCATGTACTTATAAAAAATGAGTCTAGATAATCTTACTTTGAGAACAAATGAAGCTCGCCCTCACATAATCATGTTATGAAACCCAACTGTATGTACATCAAAATTTTCAAGAGTTAGCTACATAATAGAGATACACATTAGTAGCCCTTATATTTGATTAACGTTGAAAAATATAAAGTTGTACTTCCTAATATATTGGGACTAATACCAAAAGTTATATCTGATTCAAAATAAAAAATAAAACAGGTGAAGATAACAAGGCTTAATATTTATAATGTCGATTAGGATGTAACTCGATGATAACCGTAGTCCATCATGTGATGCTTTTCTTGCACTCAAATTCAGTACATTGTTTACGTCCGTTTACCATGCTAGCTACGTACATTTATTTTAGTAATACTGAGTACCTACCTGTTAATTTCCATAAAGAAAGAAACGTATATTTTTAGCAACAGGTTTAACTTCGATCAAAGATAAACGACTACTCCGTATTATTTTATATTTGAGGCAAATAGGCAATCAATCATTGATCGAGCTTCTGATGGTAGCTAATCAAACTTTGAAGTGGGTTTGATCTAATCAAAGAAATTATTTCCATTAAGAATCGCGATTGTCTTAACTTAGTTATCCAACAATATTACGTACTACGTGTGTATATAACAATGAATGCATGGTAATGATTAAATGCTAAAAGTTCAATGGTCTTGATCAAAGCACAGCAACTTGGTTACAAAATTATTGTATTCTTATAAAACTATCTTACATACTTCTTTCGTACATTCTATTTTAGTTGATACGGAATACTTCATGTAACAGTTATTATCAATCAATCAATCAATTATATACTACTAAAAGCGAAACTTAGAGGGACACTTGTCAACATATTATTAAAAGTTTTCCCTCCAAAATTACTTGCTTAATATAATAAAAATTCATTGTTACATAAAAAGAAGATTTGTACAATTATCCTAAATTATGACTTCTATTTTGTATAAAATCTAAAATAAACTTCCTTAAATATCAAATAACCCATTATAAATATTACATGTGTGTAATTATATTCTTTTACATATTTATAATTTTAAAAAATATATTTCCTACTTTTTAATATTTGGTGAATATATTCATAATTTTTATGTACCATTATTTTTGGTCAAATTTATTGTCATTATAAATATTTAGCAACCGTGCATTGCACGGGGTTTAATCTAGTATTTAATTATTAGAAGTAATACCTATATAAAAAGTTGATATTTTAGTAATATACGTTAAGACAAATATAACAAAATCTCACATAACTATGTTTTATCCTAATTTAAAATTACAAACACAAGTCAAAGTAAAGCTGGTGAGTTACACTTTGTTTGGATAGAAGGAAATGGAAGGAAAAGAAGGGATGAGAATGGGAGGGGGACAAACTCTCTTGTTTGGGTAAAGGATTGAGGTAAGGAAGGGAAAGGAGAGGGAGGGATCCATTTTCCCTCTCTCTTTAATAAGCATAATCCCTCCAAAATTGGAGAGATTTGGAGGGAAAATGGAGTTCACCTCCCCCTCCCTTTCTTTCCACTTCCCTTCCTCCTATTTCTCTCCCCTTTCTTTCCTTCCTCATTTGCTATCCAAACAAAGCGTTAGTGTCAAAAGTCAAAACATGTCAACTATATAAAAAAAAATTATGAAAGAAAAATTTAGTGATAATTTCTGGTCAAAGTATGTACTGTTTGGCCTTAAAAGTAAAAATGGAACAATTGTCAAAAACCATAGAGTAAAAAGGCATAGCATACAATATCTATAAAACTATGAATTCCTAAAGAAGTTTATTAGACTATAGTAGAATGAAGCAAATGAATAAATACAGACTGATTGCATTAAAGTCTATAAACCCTTGCCATTTGTTTCAAGGTTACACAATCTTTAAAAACCCTTAACAAAACTTATGTTGTTGATGTTGAAGAGCACTAGTTGAGCTCATTCCTAGGATATCATGGTTTGCTATGGCGCCGGCTACAATCTTGTTATGTGATGGATCTTGTTGTTGTTGTTGTTGTTGTTGTTGTTGATGCTGGTCCAAGCTCTGGTAATTGGCAAGAAGCTTATCCAAGAACCCCCACTCGCCGCCATTAGCTAATAATTGTTGTGTGTTTATTAGTCCTCCGGCGGAGGTACTTAGTCTCAGTATATTATCCATGGTAGTAAAGAGAGTGCTACCACCGGTGGCTGATAATGTGTCGGAGCTAGCCAATTGTGGGAGGTGCATAGCGCCATCGAAAGTGTAATCAGGGTTATAGTAGTTATTAGGAAACATCAAGGGTTGGACGTTGTAACCATGTTGCCTTGGTGGGAACAGGGTTGTAGAAGTAGTAGGGTTGGTACTTGGCTTTATCATGTGGCTTGAGGAAGGGTGATTATTTGTAGGGTTAGGATTATCGTAATCGTCTTCGTGTTGTAGTTCAGAGTGTAAACCTCTTCCATGGTTCTTCTTCTTGAAGACTCGGCACACCACCCATCCATCTTCTTGCTAAAACAATGAAAGAAAACCACACCAAATTAGTTGCAATTAAGCATAGATTGTCTACTTGTATATCTATAGGGTTAGATGAACTATGGAGAAACAACTTATTAATAAATTCTTTTTTTTTTCTTGACTTACAATGAGACGTGTCAACTACCTTTTTTTCTTGTATAAACTAGTATAAAAATGACAGTTATCAACAACTCAAATTTAATTCTTGGATCTGCCACTCTAAGGGGGACATATACATCTTAAAATGTCGTCTTTGGTGTACCTGGTTACATATATGTGCATGATTACAACCCCTAAATCATGGATCTATATCTAGTTGAAAACAATTTCATTTTTGGTTTGATGGACACAATGAAATACGCGTACAAATAAATTTAATTTAAGCTTAAGTGAACACATGGATATGAAATATATGAAGATTACATTAAGAAAATTTTCTAGATTAATGAAATAAAGAAGGTCTCTTTGATTTGTGGTCTGACTTTACATAAACGTCAAAACTTGTTTATCTATGGTAGTACAAACAAGTTCCAACGTGCAATAATATGATTTATCTTTACTCCAAGCCTTAAAAAGTTAAAAGTAAACCTCAATTATTGATAAGCTCAAAAAGGCTAGCTGTAATCTTGCGTTAAACAATATCAATTTTTATGGATAAAAGTAGTTATTAATAAAATTAAACCTACCTGAAGTTGAGGATCTTCATCGTTGAGTCGGTATTCATGCATGATCCAATCCGTCTTGTGACCATGAGGAGCACGTCCGGTGTAGAAGACTAAGGTTTTCCTCATGCCGATTCGCTTTGCATTGTTGCCAAGGTAGATTGCCTTGTCTCTCCCGGTGGCTTTCCAAAATCCGGCTGCCGTGGCACGGTTTGTTCGTGTGCCGGTTGGATACTTCTTGTCCTTGTGGCTGAAGAAGTACCATTCATTTTGAGGTCCTGAACCTATCCTGCATCTATCTGTATAACAACATTATATGCATGGTATTAGCATAACTTTGTATAAGCTGCCAAAATAAAGATTTTCTAACATGCTAGAAAAACTTATCTAGATTCTAGAATATAATCACATAACATATTGCTACCCAAAAAGTGAATAACATACATAAACTTCACTCAACCTAAGTCAATATGAAATTAAATTCAAATAATATTTGTCGTTTTTACATAATAAATACATACAGTTTAAATTTAATTTGTTAGTACTGAATGGTCCACTAATATCGAATATAGGCAAACAAAATAAGATTTAATCGAAACTCCTTGTTTGTCATTTCTATACCTTTTTAATATAAAACTCTAACAAAAATCCAATAATCATGTAGCATTACAAATCTATATTATTCAGAAACACTTTTTTTTTATGAAAATTACATATCACTTTCTAAGTACGACTTTTACAAATTAAATACTACTATATGATTAAAAGAAGCCCTCGAGATGCCCATGCAAAGTTAAACATGTTTAAAAAATAATGTATTAGCGGATGTCAATGAGTTCATCTAAAAGTCTTATTTAGCGGGTTGATGAAACCTATGGTTTGGGATCATCACCTCCAAAATATTATTGAGTTTCATTTTTTTAATTTACGAACTAGCTAACTCCGTATGAACTTGTGCAAAGAATTAAAAATAAATGAATAAAGGTTGGTAGTATCGGATCCAAAGTATCTTGGAGTTAGGACCCTAGTTCGTCCTATATCATCATGCATGTTGCTATTTTTTGATGTAGATGATGAATAAATAAAAAAGGAAAACATAAACTATGAATAAGATTAGAGTACATACCATGCTACTACTAACAAAGATGATGAGTTATTTCATGCTCAAATCTTAATTAACTCTTTTTTTTTTAGATCGATTATAAGTTTATAAGCCCTAAAAAAAATTCAAAAGCTTAAAACTGAAGTTTTTTTTCCATTTTTTTTATTTTTTATTTTTTTATTTTTTTGGAATTTGATAAGCGCTCTACTATATCATGCAACAACAAACATGATGATGAGCTTCAAGCTCAAATCTTAAGTCTTACTATTCGATCTATTACTAGATTATTAGCCCTATAATATCTCTACATAAGTTTATATTATCCAAGATATCCTAAAGGAAAGACCTAAAACCACACTATAAGTAAAGATTTTTGTACTTGTAAGCGCGCAAATAAAATGAAAAAGAAGGTATGTATGTGATATGATGTTAAGCAATATAGCTAACCTTTGAGATCCCACGGTTCAAGCCTGTTAAGGTCAACTTCTCTAATAACATCAAGATCAATAGCTTCATAAGAAACCTTTTTCTTCAAATAATAGTATAGTAGTTCTTCGTCAGTTGGATGGAAGCGAAACCCTGGAGGAACGGAGATTTGGCCATTACCACCATTTGCAGGCATCATTGTAATAACTTTGTTCGTCTGTAGTTCAATATACTCAACCAACCTAAAAAAAATCACTGAAAAGTAGGAACAAGAAACGGGTCACAAGATGCACGACATAACAACAACACGTTACGTTACTTCAGAATCAATCAAGAACACCGAAGAAAGAAATCAAAGAAGAAGATTAAAGTAGATGGAGGCAAAATAAAACACCTTACCCTTTGGTTAGAGAGAAGGTGATAATGATAAGAATGAGATGAAGTAAAAGATAGGGAATTGAAAGAAAGATTAATTAGATTGTAATCAAGAAGAATGGGAACTAAAACCAAGGAAAAGGGAACAGAAATAAAGGAAAGCTGGGGGATATAATAGTCAAAGGAATAGAAGAAATATAATAATAAAAAAAGGAATAGAAGAAAACAAATAATAAAAAAGGGGAATAGAAGAAAACAAACAATAAAAAAATAAGGAATAGAAAGGAAAGGGAGTCTGATTGTCATGTGGAGGTATATGAAAGCGTACGTATAACGGTGCACGGGGGAGCGGTAATCTGACTAGGGATTCTGTCCGTTGAATAGCAGACCTTAGGCCTGAATTTCGCCTCATTAATGTCATTGAATTAAGGATTAGAAATTAGGAAGATTACCAGCTTGAGAAATTAAGGCCTTAATCGAATGTGATTAAATTAATCGGTCGCTAATTAGAGAAGACTAGACGAGGTTGACGTGCAATATATATGTGGATAATAAGTGTGTACAGGTACAGCTAGAGTGAATTGGCATTTGGGTGTTACTGTAATATTTATACTATAGTATACTTGTTGCTTTGTTGGTGTTTGTTTTCCAAGGAAATGAACATGTTGTTTCTCTTGGTGTTTTTACTTGTTACTCCACATAATTTAAATGTATGATCTTCCTCTTCAAGTTTGGAAAAAAATAGATTAATAGTTAGGTTTGTTTATTATGTGGGTCGGTGAAGATTAATAGCTAGTGGTTTGATCAAATGGTCTAGTTGAGTCGGATTAATAAGTTATATATGGGTTTTGTCAAAAAAAAAAAAAAAAGGTTTATATGGGTTGATGGGTTAGCAATGGGTTGAGTTAATAAAGAATAATAGTGAAGATATAATGTGGTTACACAAACGAATATAAGAATACACAAACTATTGGGTGCGGCAGCGCCGCAATAGTTCGTGCGGCGAGACGCTGCCGAATTGCCACAAAAGTACACTGGGAAACTCCGTATCAATTGCAACGAAGGAGTAATCGTCGATCAAAGATCGAATCAACAAAAACTTAGATTCAAGATTATCAGACTATACTTCACGAATCTTAATCAATTGAACAAAGGCCATGAAGAATCCAGAACTTATCGAATTGTTAGGGTTCTTCAATCTTCACTTCTTCAATCAACATAGAGTAGTCTTCGGCCGCGATTCGCTGGTGCAAGTCGCAGGGAGAGGGAAGGAGTAGCAAGTTCTGACGCCGCAGCCGAGGAAGAGGAGTGCGTAGCCGATGTGTATGCGGGTTTCGGCGGTGGAAGAGGAGGTTGGGTCGAAGGAGAGAGAAGAGAAATGGCGAAGGGTTAAGGAGGAGAGAGAATTTGTGGGTTGGTGTTATGACGGTGAAGGTCGTGGCTGTTGTGGACGGTGGTTGGGACTGATTGGTGGCGGCGGTTCTCTACTAGTGGATTTTGCTGGTAGATGGTGGCTGGTTGGGCGGCAGTTGGGGAGCAGCGGTGGTGCTGTTGGTGGTTGGGCATTTGGGGAGCAGCCGGTGGTGTTGTTGTTGTTGGTTTTTCATGTTTATTGTTAATGAGAAACCCCATTCTCATTTGAAACAGAAAGAGAGGAAGAGAGGGAAAGAGGAGAGAGAAAGAAATAAAAATATATTGCATTTTGTCAATCATATTAGCCAACAAATGACGCTTATCAGCCATTAAATTGAACATATCAGCCAATTGATGATGTCTGATATCAGTCAACATTAAGGACATATCAAACATTAATAAAAACATATTTGTCAACACAAGGAACATATCAGCCAATAGAAGGAACATATCAGCCAACAAAATGATGAAATCAGCAAATAAAAGGAACAAATAAGCCAACACAATAAACACATCAGCCAACAAAATAAAACATATAAACCAACAATTAAAATATACATATCAGCCAACAAAATAAAGATATCAGCCAATTAAAGAAATATATCAGCCAACGGATATCTGATAGCAGCCAACAAGAGGAACATATCAAAAATTAAATAAAAAAAAATAAAAAAAAACATATCAGCCAACAAATGAAACATATCAATCAACACATGAAACATATCAGTCAACAAGTAAAATATATCAGTCAAGTCTGCCGTAATATGCGTGCGACAGTCCGCATCCAATACCTTCTCATAAAAATATGTGTAGTGTTGACACTTTATGAACAATTGACAAGTGAGATGTAGAAGTACTATTGTACATTATTATTATTAGAAATGAAAAGAAAACGCATTTCCTAAGCTTGAATAAAAATTCATCCTATTATCAATTAATTGATTTTAGAATAGAAGTGAACATCTTTTATACTCTACTTACTTGTAAACGATCAAACTTTCTTTTATCATTAATGGATGTGATCTAGGCTCATAATATAACAATTGATGTTCACATGTATAAATATCGTACTTTTATAATAAAACATATTTTAGGCTTGAGTGACATGTCACATTGCCCGGATAAGATGCGAACAGAAGCTAAGTGCCTATGAACAAGTCAATTTTAAATGGGTGAATTTGGCTAACTAATTGGATTGGATTATTAATACTTAGTCAGATTTGGTTGGGTCAGTCATATATTCTCAAGTTGTAATAAGCCAGGTTTTAAACAATTAGGCCTGATCTTGTTTGAGTCGATTGAGTCTAGTTTAATTAGTTTGGGTTGGAACATGTGGGTTACAGTCGGATTATATTGGGTCCTGGGTACATACTAGCTAGGTCGAGTCATTTGGGTGTTAGGTACCTATCTTTCGACTTTAGTTAATTAGGGTAATAGGGACATGTATATCAAATCAGTCCAATCAAACATTAGGAACACATTGGCTCACTTCTAGACCTATCAATTCGAGTCAATGGGTCGGGTTCGGGTTAAAATTCGGGTCATTTGGATTGTTTTGGGTCGTTACGAAATATGATAGATAGGTCAAATCGGGTCGATTTTGGGTCGGTTGGGTCGGGTCGGATTTGGGTTCTCTCTCAATGGCTCGGGTTTGAAATCGGGTTGGGTCAAGTCAGGAATTGACACGTAAAGTCACGTTAAACAACTAGGTATCAATTCAGTATTTTGGTTGGGTCGTTTAGGTTACATATTAGATACATATCAGGTCATACCAATTAAGTATTGAATGAAATTGGGTTGAGTGACTTGGGTCCTTTCGATTATTATGTTATATTTTAATCATTATCGATTAAATCATTAAAATTATATATTTCAGGCAAAAAAAAAAAAAAGGTTCATTTAAGTCTAGCAACTATAGGTAAGTAACGTTTTATTATTCGGCTAGTATCAGCTCTGATACCATGTTAGATGATCATCTCGGCTAAAAGTTTAAGCTGATGGTTGAAATCAAGATCAGTTTATATACTCTATTAATTGTGCAAAAAGGCAAAGGAGATCAATAAAAAGAAATGGAAAGAATATAAAACTTAGGTTCAGGCGACAATTAACCTTATTTATGTTTGCAATATAATCATAGTTAAATTTGTACTATATTATCTAAGTTACAATCTAGATGCATTAACCATTTTAACAAATAACAAATTATTCTTATTTTATGTTTGCAATATAATCATAATTTAATTTGTACTATTTTATCTAAGTTACAATGTAGATGCATTAACCATTTTAACAAATTACATATTACTCTTAGAATATCCTTAAACAATTACCTAAAAATCATAAGTCAAAGCTAATCATAACTTCTTCTTTTTACATGAATCATAACTGTTATAAAGTACGTAATAGATTCTTTGTTAAGAAGGGAGCTATGAAATTATATTTTCCATTGTTAATTAAATGATGATAGAGGGAACTAAATTAAAAGGACAATAATAACTTCACAAGTGAAGCAACAATAATACTATCCAAATATAAAATATGGTAATAATTAAAGATCAGATAATGGGCCAGATATGCCACTGTTCAGGCCCAGAAACGGAAGCCTGATAAAAAGTCGGCCAGGAGAAGTAGCCCAACTTCTAAAAACGTTTTGGAGCATTAAAATTGTTTTGGGTGAAAAAGTGAAAGGTCTAATTAGAAAATAGTAAAAATTACCTTCATTTTTTATAAATTGCAACACTATTCTTTTGGAAAATTTGTCAAAAAAAAAATCTTTTAAATACCTCATTTTGCAAGAAAAAACCTTTTAAAAGGATCTTTGTTAAAAAAAAAACCACCACGATCACTTTTTTTGTTAGATGAAACCTCTCTCCTCTTTTCCGGCATTGACTCAAAGATTCAGGCGTTGACTCCTTATTTTCTCTACTTACACCCAAGTCTTTTTTTATATTTGCACTCCCTCCTTACTTTTCCCCTCTTATTTTCCCTCCAAAGTTAATGCCCTGTATTCTCTCTCTCCTTTCTTCTCTCCCTCCATGAATGCTCAGCACTTCAATAACATCACTTAAGGTTTCTCTCTCTCTCTCCTCTGCTCACGCCATTAATATTCTAACAATAAACTATGGTTAATTCATCAAATTATTAACGCAAATAGTATAAAAATTGGGGCTTTTTTCCCACAATTGACAAACTCTCTTATTTGATGTTGTCAATGGCTAAAGGAGGAAGAAATGGGTTGTTTGGTCGCAAAACAAGGTTTTCTAATTACACAGTTAAGAACAAACCAAGGTGAGATCTTCAATTTCGTACTCAATTGCATAAATTGCGTAATATTAGTTAGGTTTCGACAGAAAAATTCGACAAAAAATAAACCTTTTACTTAATTGTTGCTCGATATTGGTGAATTTATACCGTGCTGCTTAAACCAAATCCACAAACTGTTAGAGAGAAGAAGGGTGGAGTGAGCACTACAATGGTGGAGTGAGTACTAGAATTGTGGAAGAAAGGGATTAAAAACCCTAGTTTACCTTTTAATTGATTTGATTTGGGGAGGTTTGCCCTAATTTTTCTTTTAATTGATTTGGGAAGATTTGCCCTAGAGGGAAAATTACTCAACAGTAGGCTGCAAGTAGAGAAAATAAGAAGTCAACGGCTGAAACCTTGAGTCAATGACGGAAAAGAGGGCAGAGGTTTCATCTAACAAAAAGTGATCGTGATGGTTTTTTTTAACAAAGATCTTTTTAAAAGGTTTTTTCTTGCAAAATGAGGCATTTAAAAGGGTTTTTTTTGACAAATTTTCCTATTCTTTTTCATTAGTTTCCAATAAAATTGCAACACTTCTACCTTTAGTTAAGAATGACTATTATTTTATTATTTTAATCTTCAACCAACCTCACATTTGCTAATTTTTTTTAATAATTTCTTTCTTGTACTAACAATTACCATATACGTCCACCAACTATACTTTATACGGAGTATTATAAAATCCTCGCACTATGTTATTTTTTTTCATAAATTATGTGTCAAGCCACTTTGCTATTAATGCAAAATAAAGGGAGTAACAAAAAAGTAAAATTAGGCTATATTTAGCTCATCTTATTGTGATTTATATAATAAATTAATGTATTCATATTAATGTACGGTCTTGTTAGAATCATCTTCACATATGGTTTTATAATATCAACTTTATTTAATTAATGATATTTAATGTTCAAAATGTGCATTACAAGAAGTAAATCCTCTAATAATTACAATATTTGGAGATTGAAGGAATTATATACTAATAGTTAAAAATTCCCACCAGGAGAGTGGATGTATTTATGTTGAGGAAAAGGACATACACTAATGCACTAGGGTAATATTTCCTCCGTTCTTTTTTACTTGACCTGTTTCTTTTATCACGCTTGTCAATGCAAAACTTTAACAACCAATAACTTTAATTCCCCATAAGTAAAAATTATAGAAATCTAATATATATAAATAAAGTAGGCATTTTTGGAGAGCATTCGGAGCGCCACGTAAGAAATATACTTATTTCGACCAATAAGAAGAAAGATTTGTATTTTATTTTTGAATTAAAAAATTATGTCGCCACCTATATAAAAGTAACGAATTAGATTTGATATATCTAAAATTGTAATGCCACGTAGATTATAATCCGCGAATTAAATTATTTTAATAAAAAAAATAAAGTAAAAATATAGGAAAAGATAAATTTATGAATTCAATACTACGAGTATAAGAAATCCAAAAAAGAAATAAATTAAAAAATATTTAAATGATAAACGCTTATAATAAAGTTTGATACCTATCATTATAAGATAAATTTTGATAGTATTTATGATAAGAAATACAAATTGTTCGTTAATTATAATTAAATTAAAATTTGTGATACCTACCATTATAAATTGACACATCATACGAAACAAACAAAATTTCGTATCAATAAAAATCCCCATCAAGCAAATTTTGTGTTATTTTTTGGTCATCAATGGTCGGGTAATTTTTAGCTTAATTTTTAAAATCCTATGTTTAAATTAGTATTTCTAAATATTACTTACATTGTATTAATTTGGGATATTCAACGATTATATGTTTATGTTTTATTTACTAAATTTTTATTTTACATGCAAATCTAACACATCATACGACACAAATAAAATTTCGTATCAATACAAAACCCCATCAAGCGAATTTTGTGTTAGTAATTTTGTGTTAGTTTTAGGTCATCAATGTCCGGGTAATCTTTAAAATCTTATGTTTAAATTTATATTTGTAATTATTAGTTACATTATATTTATTTAGGATACTTAACGATTATTTGTTTATGTAATGGCATATGATTAGATGTTGTATACTTAATATATGGATGTCTTTGGTTATTTTTGGAGATGATGGAAAAATTCCAGTGCATAGATTTGATTTTGGGATTTGTTAAACATCGCCCACAAATTACTACATAAAGCCCACAAAATATACTTGGTTTGACACTTTTGGCCATTTTTGAAATTTTACCAAAAACGAAAAATTATG